AGAGAGAGAGAGAGAGAGAGAGAGAGAGACGAAAGAAATGATAAATTATTGATGGATGAGATAACAGCGGAAGAAGTAAAATATTTTCGTGCATGAAATGACACAAAAATTGAAATTTCATCTTTTTACAGTTTCAATTTTAATTCAAATATCAAATTTTAAGCACCGTATTAATATACATATATAAAGAGTGGTAATATTTCACAAATTACCACTGTGTAACGAATAATATCTTTTTTCAAAAAACTTTGCTTACTTTATAATTGCTTTATTTTCATCGTAATCTAATTTTGTAAAACAGTCAAAATAAATTTTTGAATGAAACGAATGCATGTGCAAATTAGATACATTTTCCATATGATCAGATTAAAATGGGAATTCAAATATGAACAAGTTTTTCTCACTTTCATTTTTGGCTACTATTTGATGTTAGTTTATTTTCATATTACATCATGCATTAACAAATAACTAAGCCAACCTGTATTTTTCATTTGCAAGAAAGTCCAGTTTTTGTAGTATTTCATTGAAAAAAAAAAAAAAGAAAGAGGAAATACACAGAGAGATGACTCGATAAACTGGTCTGTACGGTATGATCTGCATGGTACAATTTAACAACAAAAGCGAATTATAATGTCGATTGTAAATTAAATCAAGTTCGATAACTTATCACTTTCTAATGATAAGTTGAATGGAAATTTTTATTTCCTGTTCTCTGTAAAATAACAATTTATCAACCATATCATAAATCAAATATTTAATGCATTATCTAATAAATATTTTTAATTATTATCATAGGTCTTAACAATTAGAAGTACAAAATTATAATAACAAGAATCTTTTCCATCTCAATTAAAAATGAAATGTAATTTTCAAATACTAAATTTGAGATTATTTGTGAAATCAAATACTAAATTTGAGATTATTTATGAAAAATAAAATGTATTGAATGTTCTGAATATAATCATTGATTGATAAAATATTTTTTAAAGGTATTCTCGCGTTGAATGCAAAAATACCTATTTACCTGTTTAATTATCATATTTCAAACTTAAACAAATAAATATTTTCTTGTTCCAAATAATATCAATTAAACGACAACAATTAATAGGTAAGAGTGTTTAATTAGCATTTCATTCAAGGAAGAAAACGATAAAGTCTGTGGAAAATCAAAGAAATCTAACAATCCTGATTTTGTCCTAAAATTTCACTCTTTGAATGACCAATTTAAAAGACAAGGAAAAAACAACCAAAATTTTTATATTAAAAATTATTCCTAAAAATTTCCAGAAATATTTTATGAGATTAAAAAAATTCCCTTCAAATTTTTTAAATTTTATACCACGAAAACATTTTGCAAAATACATTTTTGGTATTTTAATTTCAAGCTATATAGAAATCTTAAATATTTGACAATTTATGCAAGTGATTATTGTATGCGTAAGTCTTTTGCAAAAGTTCAATGATGCCTTTTATGTAATCTATGATAAAATGTCATAATTTATTCACGTACGTGCAGTGACCGATAAACAATTACTTATCATTCATTACTTAATTTTTTTCGTATTTATCCATAAGTTGAATCATTTAAAGTTTCTTTTAACTATTATTATGTTTTTGTCTTAAACTTTGAACCATAATGAGGATGAATCAGTTATTATTTTTATTGTACTATAAAATGTTAACATAAGATCTTATGAGAGTCAGTTAAAATTAGCATAAATCCCTGTCAACAGGTCAAAAAAATTCAAATAAGCACATGTTTTTATTGAAATACACTTTAACCAAAAATGAAATCAAAAAAATCCACAAAAAGAACAAAGAACATTACATACATTCATTAATAAAAGTACAATATTAATAATAATAACAATATAATATGAACAATGATAACATTTGAAGTTTTAGCAAAAATACTAAAGATAAATGTGAGGATAATAAACAAAAAAGGTAGTATTTAAAATTGTAAAATTTTTATCCCTAAAAATTTCTTGGAATTTTTGGAAAATATAAAATTAAATTTAAAAATTTTTTTTGAATTCTTTTATATCAAAAAAAAAAATTGTAGGAATAATTATGATGATACAATTCTAAGCTGATTATTTTGTTACTAAAGCCGAAAATATCTGACAATGCTAATTCATATACAATTGATTATCATACACGTAACTCTATGATCAATCACTTGAGCATGTCGTAATTTATGATGATATCATAATTGAATTCGATGATCAGTAGATCAATGATATCATGATTTCTCGTGAATATTTTCCAACTTTTTTGCTACAAAAATTTGAAATGAGATAGTGGAATTTAGCATGATATCGTTAAGTTTCTCTTAAGATTTGCCATAATTCTATTAACACAATTTTCTTACAACCATTTGGAATGCTAGGAAATTGCACAATTTTGAAATAATATGACTAATTTATATAAATTTAAAATATAAACTTCATATTTTGAATTACAATTGCATGTTAAAGGCAATAAGAAATATTTTTAAAAAAAAATTGACATGTCAGGTACAGTTTTCTTTTGTTCAAATGCGAATTAAATTGTGTAAGATAATGAATTAATTTTAATCATTTTTTTGATGAAGCGAATTTAAAATTTAAAATATTAGACAAATCACCAAAAAAGGACGGCTAAAATTTATTTATTTTTTGAATGAAAGGATCATTAGCTATAATACATTAAAATTTTAAGCGAAAAGGAATTTTTAGGAAAAAGGGAAAAGCGCAATTGTTGCACAAAATATGCAACAAATACAACAAATAAAATACAATAAATTAAAAATACAACAAATTTCATGTAGTATCCAAAAAGTGAAAAATTACGGGCAAGGATCAAGCGCACTTATCGCATGCCGATCAAAAAAAAAAAAGAGAAAAAGAGGAAAAATTTGCTTATTGAAAATAATTTTCTCATCCAAAAATTTCAAATTTGAAATCTTCAATTAAAATAAACAAAGATTGCTTCCATATTTTTACATTTTCAACAGTGCTAAAACTCAATCATTCATTTCTACGCCTAACAATTTTCACTGTTCAATTTTCAACATTCTTTTACATTTCACAAAAATAGAGTCAACTTTCATCAACTTTTCATTTTTTTTAAAAAAAAAATTCAACTTCTAAATTTTTGTTTTTTTTCTTTCTTTTTCCCCTTTTTT